AACTCCCTTGACCTCCTCATCCCAGGCGCCATCAGCATGGGTTCCGCCCTGGTGAGCCCAGACAGGGAAGGCAGAGAGACGATCATTTGTGACCATACGGGGCGTTCTTTGATCTGCAGGATGCAACGCTCTTTATTACATTTTTAATGGCAAAAGCTAAAGCGCAAAAAAGCCTTAGAAGAGACATCCAGCCATTAACATGGGATGACTCAGGGAATACACAGCTCACAGGGAGAAGCCCACAATTCAACGGGAACATCGGACTGGATATCCAGGGTACCAGGCAGAAAACGCCCACTCTTCCTCTGCCCAAGCCGTATCGCTTCCTTCTAGGAACCATTTTAATCTGAGTTTTGTTTTTTTACAGTTTATACTCTACTAAACAGATTTCAGTCTAATTCTGCATCTCCACTGGCTTCAGTGCCCCCAGGCACAGTCCATTCATACCAAGTTTAGTGAAGGCGCTGACCTGTCTTGAAAGCCCAGGCCAAGGCCCAAGACGGGCCAACCAGCCGATGGCGCCTATGCAGCCTGAGGGAGCTGCTGTGTATCCAGAGCCTGTCCACAGTCAAAACAACACTTCAGCAAAGCAAATTAGCGCTCAGTCTTTGGGAGGGAAAAAAAACAAAACATGCTTTTATGGTTTCTTTGCTCATCAAGAAACTGTTTGATATTAAAATTACCCCCCAAAAAATCTATATCATTTCCTGAAAAATAGATCTATAATTGTGATAGTAAAATAAAAGTTGTATCTTTAAAATATAATTCTGTGTGTTAGCCTTAAAAACATTGAGCAGCTGACCTTTTTCTCTCAATGTTATCATTTTAAAAGCCACGTTCAGGTCCTGAGCTCCTGGCTGCTCACCTCTGCCAACCACAAGCCCCCCTGTCTGTAGCAGCCCCCTGCAGCACCAGGTGTGCACAACTGTGTTTCAGGGAAGGAGAACCACAGAGCTGTGCTCTTAACTCCAGGGGCGTCCGTCAGCCTAGTCTATGAGTTCCTTTCTCCTCTGGATTTCAGAGAGGACAGGATGGGGCACCTGCTAGAGGCTTCTGGTTAAGGAAGACTTGGTTTCAAAAGAAGCCACAACGAAGACAAAGGCTGTGTTCCCCATGCTACCTGTACACAATGGTAGTATCTGGGCTCTAGATACTAGCTGGTCAGAAAGCAGAGGATGGACCACGGAGTCCAGATGCCCTGGGGTGCGTGCCCCCAAAGATGGAGAACACAGAACCTCGGAGAAGGTGCTGGCCTGCCACAGGCACCCAGCCTCCCCTCGTTCCACATACCCTGTGGTAACAACAGGGTTTCCTTACCAAGAATCCAGGTTGTCTGTGACTGACCGCCAATTTATTTGCAACTAATATATGAATACACTGGTTTGCAAGGTACCAAGCATAGTTATCTATACAGCCAGCTAAATGCAACAGAACTATATAATACAAATGTAGTTCATCTTTATATTAATATTCTACAAAACCATGTGACACACATCAGTTGACATAGTAGATGCCCTGAGACGGGATCTGGAGGGACCACAATAGTCACACAGGCTAATGAGCAGTATCCCCAAACCTCAAACCCTGTGACAGCAAGCATGACAGCCTGATGCCAAGGTCCAAGTACAGCTACATAAATGTGAGAACATTTCAAAGTGCTAATGAAATAATAACATTAATTTAAAGACTTATATTTGGAGAAAATGGATATTTCTTCAGAATTTTCATGTTTTGAAAAATTATTTCCCTCTTATAAATTTTACATGCTAATATTATATGATGAAAATCAGTGCCTTGGCCTCAGTGATAAGCAAGAAAACTATTCCTTCCTGCTGTTTCCCATTGGAATATCCTCAGAATTACTTTAGAGGTCTGTACCATAAGACACAGACTTAGATGAAATGTTTAAAATATTTAGAATTTTTTATTTTAATTTTTAAATTTTTAGTACCAGTAGGTATTAGTAAATATAAAAAGCACTTTTCTATGAAAAAATAAAATTTCACAACAAAATAATTAGCAGCAATCATTCATATACTGTGAATCAGGATCTTAAAAGAACAGCCAAAACATTAACCAGAGCACAAGTCAAAGTATTTCTCTCCATTGATATCACTAATCTTCACTGAAAAAAGATACTCAGCATTTATGCAACAAAGCTCTGAACAATTTTTAAGTTGTTTAAATAAAATATAAAACATCCCTCCCTCCATGCTCATCCAAATTTCCACCCATAAGAACTTGTGAAAGAAAACAAGTAAACAAGTTTTTAACATCCAAACTATTAAAACATGCTCAGCATCACTATTCTTCAGGCAAATGTGCATCAAAACCACAGAGAATCACAACCTCTAAACAGTCAGAATAGCTACTTGTGAAAGCCCAATGGGATGGTGAGGAAGCATCAGAGGGAACGTAGGCCTGCTGCTCGGGACGTGACTCACTGCTACGGGACACAGGAGAGAGTGCCCTCAGAAAATCTTAATATAACAAAAAATGTAACTTTTGTATCTGACAAGGTCAGTCAGTTCCCCTCAGGATTTACCCTGAAACCCTGCACCGCAGTTTGCAGATGATCCTCTGTCAGTGTCAGCCATGTGGATTAGTCACGGCCATTGCTTGACCAATTTGCTCTCTGTGAAAGCCTGAGAGAATGTTTTCTCATGTGACTCTCCTTAGGCACACTCTACATCATCTCGGTCTTAACCATCCAGCAGAAAAGTATAAAAATGAAGTATAAAAAGGAAAGCCATATTAATATGCTGAGCTGTAAAAGGCTCACGTCAACAACTTCTGACATTGTCCTACGGAAAACCCATTACTATTATGGACTACTTGACTATATTGAAATATTTTGCTGAATTCATGCACCTACAGTATTTAAACAACAAAGGAATACCCATCTCTGACAAAACTAAACAAAAAAGGGGATACAAATGAACAACTATTTTGTACCTGTATATTCAAAATAGGATAGATATACAGCTACTTTCTCTTAATTCAATGAATAGAGGGATTTGTTCTAATAGTATTTGTGGACAGGATATCATGTCTGCATCTTGCACAATGAATAACCACTAGGACAACAATATGCAATGTATTAATTATTGAACCTGTGCTAGCAATCAGTTTTGAAACTGTCTCATAGCTATTTGTTTCTCAATAAAATTATTTGTAAAAATCTTAATAATAGAACTGCTATGCAATCCAGTACTTCGACTGCTGGACAGGGGGCCAAAGGAAATAAAATGAGTAAACCAAATGCATATTGGCGCTCTCAGGCTCCCACTACCCACAGGAGTCGAGATGCAGCAACAGCGCACGCCTGGCCTCACATAAATGAGTAAAGGAAATGTGACACATGTCCACAGGAAGAGTATTTAGCTTTAAAAAGAAATTCTCCCTTTTACAACAAGATGAAGCCAGATGCTATAATGATAAGTGAAAGAAGCCAAACACAGAAAGACAAATGTGGCATGGCCTCAGTCACATATGGAATCTAAAAAGTGAGGCCGGTGCCATACTAAGAGGGCAACACAGCAGTCAGTGCAAGCTGGGGGCTGGGGCAAAGGGCCACGCTGACAGACAACAGCTACCAGCTTTCAGTTCCAAGAGAACTTCTGGAGGCTCTGTGTTGAATAGGTCAAGTAAAAATAAAGGTGACATATTGTATATGCGAATGTCGCTGACTGTAGCATTCATCTGTGATTTCACGTTATCTATGTGAAATGACAGATAATTTTGATTGAGATAATAATTTTACAACATCAAAACATCACACTGTATACCCTAAATATCTACAGTTTTGTCAATCATATCTCAAGTCTGGGAGGGAAAAATTATTAAAAATAACAAAGAAAAGCCTAGGGTTTTCTTGCTACAAAAGCGTGGACACTGTGCCAGGCATAGTGGCATAGGACCGTAATTCCAGTAAGAGGCTGGCAAATTCAAGGTCTAGCTTGAGACACTTAGTGAGATCCTGTCTCAAGATTTAATTTAAATAAGGAGAGGTAGGTGAGAGGAAGTGGCTGGGAATGTAGCTCAGAGACACAGCACCTACCTAGCATGCATGAGGCCCTGGGTTCAAGTCCCCCCACAGAAAAACAAAGAAGTGAGAGCATGAACATTATATGAAACAATTAAGGGGCCAGGGGATAACTCAGTAGAATAGGCGCTTGTCTGACAAGCAGAAGGTCCTGAGTTTAATCCCCAGTACCACCACCTCCCCCCCAAAAACAGGCAGAAAAGAAACAATTAAGATACTAAAAATAACTGGAAAAAGTAACTTACAAAATGAACTTTTAAATCTTCTCTCACAGTGGAACTCTGTAAACAGTACTTCATAGGAAACAATTTTTTTTCTCTCCCCTCTGACCATCTAGCCCTGGGGTTGAAACCCCAAACCCAAACATTGTACCCCAGCTGTGGCAAGGGCTCCAAGGAGCTGGAAACAGTTTCAATTTCATGCATTCTAGGAGGCTGTCTCAGGATGAAATAATCAACCCTAAAACTCATAAACCTAAAACTGGTCCTTGACATTATAGAAGGGCAAGTTTTCAATTCTGACAAAATAATAGAGATTGTTAAAACAATACTATAGCGTATATAGTATTTCTCTCAAGAAGTGAAGTTGGGAAAAAAGGTAAAGTTTTAATTTCCCTTTTAGATCCTTTGACTTATTGCTTATTAAAGAAGAGCAGACTTGAAAGTCTAGTCGGCAGCTACTTTATGCACTGCCAAATATCTGCGTCTCAGCAACACTGCAAATGCTAAAACTGGGACGCTTCAGAAAATCTCCTGCAAATATTCACAACTACTCATAAGAAATCTTTGATCTGGGACCAGCACACAAATATTCTGCATTTCGATTAGATGAACTCAGACACAGAGCCTGGTACTAAACTGAAGTTTGTGGGAATAATCAATCTTTGGTCAGTGCTGTGAGCTGAGCAATGGCAAGACGTTACAGCCAAGGATGCCCAGTGGGGCTTGTTGGTTACCTGTTCTTGTTTCTCCAGCCACTTGTCCACCATGGGGTGGCTGGCACTCAGAGAGGTGCGGGCATTGTCTCGCTGAAATTGAGTAGACCAGGTACTGGTGTCCCTTGGCAGGCTTCGGTAGTTTTCATCTTTCTGTTCAAACAGAAAGAAAAAGAGCATCTTATTAAAAACTTCCACTTTCTAAATTAACAATATACCTGGCTTTTCAAAAGTACAAAAATGATTCTACATATTTAAAGTATTTTTCCCAAGTCTATACAAAGTAGGTAGGTGAAGAAGCCCCAAAGACACACTGAACTGAAACAGACCCAACATGAAACTGAACCCCTACATCAACACATAAACCACTGCCCAAAATACGCAGAATCATCCTCATCCTCTACCTCCCTACCTCTGTCCCAAGAGTTGAAAGGGCTCAGTGCTCTGGTGCTGGCCTAGCACGCATAAGGCTGTGGGTTCCACCTCAGGACTGTAAAAAGGAAAAACTGTAAAAAAAAAAAAACCCTCTATGTCTATCCAGGTATACATACTCCCTTAACCCAAACTACAGCTGGGGGGGGGGGGGATCCAACATTAAAAACATGTTACACACAGGTACCTTTCCCAAAAGAAATGTAAATATTATGTACTATAAACATATATCAATAAAAAATAATTTTAAAAAAGGCAAAATTTTAAAATCAAATATGTTTCCAATCCTACATTTCATAACTCAAAGAAGAGAAAAAGAAACCAAGCCATCAGATTTATTGACATTCAAAGCTCTACAACAAGTGACAAGCATATTTCTAAATTAGAAAGTGATTTTAAATCTATTTCACTCAATGATCAAATTAATGTCTCCATTCTGTATACTGGTAAACATCAAAACAATGCTGTTAAGTTGAGCTGTGGGGGACTCAGGTCAATAATTTCTGACATTGCCAGTTAAGCAGAAGACCCAATGCTATTATGGGCTACTGGACTCTTTTAGAATATTTTGCTGAGTTTACACACCTATAATATTCAATAATGGAACTTAGAAAAAATGGGGTATGCCTATGAATGTCCATTTTGTATCTGTGTATTCAAAGTGGTTGGGATAGATACACAGTTGCATTCTCTTAATGAATAGAATGATTTGTTCTAATGGTGTTTGTAAATAGGATCACAAGTCCGCATCTTGTACAGCAATTAACCACTAAGAAGAATATATGCAGTGTAATATTTGTTGAAACTGTACTTCTGATTTGATTTGAAACTGTCTCATTGCTATCTGTTGATCAATAAAACTTTGAAAAAATAAAAAATTAAAAAATAAATAAATAAAAACATCTTTTTTTAGATTTATAAAAATCCACAAATAGTACAAATACTTAAAAGTCCTAATAATTACTAATTTTCTAATGATGATCAATAGTTTATTACACCTCAGCCAGTATTTTTGCTAAAATACTATATGAAAAAAAAATACCATGAGGAATTACTCTCTTTTTTTGTTTTTAATTATAATGTTAATCTTTCACTTAAGAGGCTGCCCCAAGCAGTCACTCAGCTTTGCACAGGGTGGGAGAAACTTTCCCTCTTGCCAGAAAAAAACAGATGTTCCTGCTGGGATCAGGGATTTTCCTTATCATCTAAATGTACTGCCACATCATCAGGTGTCAGAAAGCCACTTGGCCTGGGAAATGCATATTAATTTGTTATTCCCTGGTAGAGGTATCCCAGTTAGGAAGCAAATTTCTTCCAGGGAAAGTTAAGTGTGCTTAACTACATTTCAATAAATTACATTTCAATAAAATGCAATCACAGAGAAGCCACCCAATGCTGGGAGAGAAAAGCTTATTCCTAACATGCTAAGCTGAGACTCCTCAGTTTATCTTTCCAAAACAGCTCTTCAGCTGATGGTCAGATCTTGGCAAACTCACATCTCTATGTTTCAAACACCAGAACTACTTCATGATTATTATAGAAGCAATGGACATTTCCACATTAGCACAGGAAACTCAACTATGTTCTCACTCTGCTTTAGTGCAAAAATTGCAAACACCTTTTTAAAAATCATGAGGAATCGCACCATATTTTGAAACACAAAACACTCGATGCACATAAATTTCCCTTTTGCACCCTCTGTGCATCAGATGGTTTTAAATATTCCATGTGATGTGAAGATTTTAGGTTTACAACATTTTTCAACACTGCAATAGTGGTAAAAAGGAGAATTTAATTTTCTACTTTATCATTTCACCAAGAAAAGAACAAAGAAAACCATTTTCAAGATACCTAACCTGAAATTATGAGACTAAAGCAAAATTAGTAATTATGGCTTAGAATACATTTTTTTCTTTAAAAATTACATGAGGCGTGCTAAAATCATCAGCAATCATGTTGCTGGTTCAATGGAGCCTACTCTATCCTGTCTTCTGCCAGAATCTATCTTTTGTGCCCACTGAGGGCTACACTAGAATACGACTTTGAAAGGAACACAAATACTAAAGATCAGAAGAGAGAAACCTAAAGTGGTCTCTAAATAAAATTGTTTTTGATATATTTTTGACCTTCAAGTCATTCTCTAAAACAATAAATGAAAAAAAAAAGTAAAAGGGTGGAGAGGGGGAGGAGGGGAAAAAGGAGGGTGAGGAATAAATTTACCTTAGAAAAATCAAGTTCAATAATCAATTTGTAACAGGTTGGCAGTCCCTTAGATTAGATGAATTATCTATTTAGACATTTTCTTAAAACAAGGAAACGAAAGAATGTATTCTAAACACAGTATAGACTGAGTAGCCCCAACCCAAAAACTTGGGACAAGTAGCATTGCAGATTTCAGAATTGTTCAGGTTTGGGGATATTTGCGCATACACAGTAAGATATCCTGGGGGTGAGACCCGAGCCCAAACCAAACGTTCAATATGTTGCATATATACTTAAAAACACGTAATTTAGTAGTTCTGTGCATGAAACCAAGTCTCATGGGTGTGGAACTCCCGAGTTGAACCATCTGTCATTCTTGTGCTCAGAAAGGACCCTATTACACTCCACATTTTGGGTTTACAAAAGGACAGCCAATCAGTAGTCACTGTTTACCCCATTGCATGACTACTTCGAAGCATTGCATAACTGTGTTTTAGCTTCCTGAGATTTTAGTTGCTGCAGCTGAACACAATCCAAAACATACAGGAGAAAGTTAAAGAATTGAAAATTTCTAAAATCTAAGCTACACACCACTGTAACATGTAATGAAATCTGGTGGCTTCCCGTCCTGCCTGCCCTACCCAGACAGGAACGCCTCCTCTGCCCAGCACCACGTAAGCCCACAGCCAGCCCACTAGCCACTGGGCAGCACTGTGTCTAAGCAGTTTACAATGCAGTTAATAATGGTCCCAAAGTGCAAAAATAGTGTGATGAAAATTCACATATACCCAAGAGAAGCCAAAAAGTGCTTCCGTTAGGTGAAAAGGGAGAGTTCTTGACTTAATAAGGAAAGAAAACAAAATCATAGGCCAATACTGTGTTTGCCAAGATCAATGTTAAGAATGAAATCTTCAACTCAGAAGTTCTGAAGAATGAAGAAATAAATTGGTGCTCACTTATCTGGCGCACAAAAATTACAAAAGTTAGAACACCAATGCTCAGAGAAGACAGAAAAGCAGTAAATTACAAAGTTTGTTACTATCTAAAATCTCAAGCAACCAACAGGATTTTTATTTTTTTTACTGTTTTTTATAATGTATTTTATTTTATTTATTTTTTGAATTTTATTTATTTATGGGGGGGAGCTCAGCCCACCAGGGGGCGGGGCTGGCTGGCATGTGGTGCTGGGGTAATGAACAGTGGTCCCTGTGCTTTGCGAAGCTTGTTCTAAGTAGGTGCCTTAGACCACTGAGCCATCTCACCAGCCCCCCCCCAACAGGATTTTTAGAATGCATCCCATAGATAAAAACTAAATACTTCATTATGGAAAAAAAGTATTATTTGAAATCAATGATCACTAATATCCTACAACAAATGCACATGGTACTGCTGATCTGAGGTCCAGCAACTTGCTTCTATGCTGTCTGGAATCCCTATGCACTGTGAACCACAGCACAGATGTGTAGCTTACTTATTTTTTTTTATAATGTCCCCTCTATGCTTAGTAATTATATATTAGTAATTATTGGTAATAGGCACAGAAAAGATGACAGAATAAGTGTTTAGAACCTTGTCCCAATAGATTGATGACAAGACAGAGGAAACTCAAACTTCCATAATTTTTTGTTACTGTGACCAGCTGGAAGTCATTAGAGACAGACAGGTCATCTGCTAAAATTTACCACTACAGCTTGCCACAAGAGACCGTGCTCACACTGTAATTCTTCAAAATTTTAAATGAGAGTGAAAATTCTGAAACCTTGAACACAAATATGGATCATGTCACCTGTTTACTTCAAATGTTAAGAGTAATAAATCTTACTTTTACCTTGAATATTTTTTAAAATTAAATCCAAGTTTTGAACAGGAATAAAAAAAAAGAAAATAATTTATCCAAGTAAATTGGTTATTCCAGCAAATTAATAATGCACAATATAAAATATCCTACTATGTACACAGAAAATGTTATTTTTTCCTGTGAAATTGTAAAGGTAACGTTCACATTTTTTTAAGTTTCATGTTGGCCTGAAAATTCTAAACTGTTATTCTCAGTTGTTACAACCCATGTAGAATAGCTTCTACACTTACAGTTTCACTTAGTTCACTGTAATATTCAAGAATGAAGGCACACGTGCATAACTGCACATGCACACACGTGCGCGCACGCACACACAGACACACCTCACACAAAAACTTCATAGAACTCTAACATAGAAGTTTACATTTGAGAATTATAATTACGCATGCATTCAGGTGCCTGAGACATAGCAAGCCGTTCAGGTTAAATGCAAAAGCAAAGCTCTACATAACTGACCAGCAGCTTTATGACATTCTTTACTTCAGGTGAGAAATAGAACCCCAGGAAGACAGCTCTGTATGAGGCTATGAAAATAAAAGGTCCCTGTATGGAGAAATGTTGCTTAGAATCACGGAGATTCAGGTTGACTGAACATAAAATGCACCCATATATGTATGCCATGTCTGAAGAGACCTGTTTGTGGAGCAGACCACGGAACCAA